CCCGTCCCTTTTTTTTTTTTGGAGGGTGTCAGGGGGATTACTGGCCTTCAAAACTTCCGGGGAAGCTGTGTGGAGCTGCACTGTGCGCTGCTGCACCCCTGGTAATCTTATACAGCAGTTTAAAAACCTGGAGAAATTTTATGCTTAAAAGCTACGAGGCAGACCAACGGCAGTGGGTGTCAGTTTTCACAGGTGCCTGTCTGTTTGCATGTGAAGACAGGAAACACTTTTTAAAACTTCAGTTCTTTTCCCTCTTAGCCAGATTTTGTCTGTAAACAAATATGTCTGCCTCAATCTGTTTATGGTTGGATTGATGTATGAACAGATGAAAGTATTCCAGTGAAGGGAAGGTTAAGGAATAGAGCAAATGAAGGACTCGCTCAGACTGATTAGTGCGATGCCGGTGTAATTACTTGTGGGACATAACAGAGAAGTTTGGGAGGTCTTAACTCAAACTTCCTAAGGTGTTAAAGATGTACTTTTTGTTGATTATATGTTCTATAATTATGTCTATTAGAAACATACCCTATCTCCTAGGTGTAGTCTTGAGGTGGAAATAGGAAGAATGAGGTTTTTACTGATGGAACTATGTGCAGATACTGGCTCTTCTTGGTTTCTGTATATGCATATGTATAATAAAATGTAAATTATGGGTAGTAAGACTTGTATAAAAACATGTTCCGCAAAAGGAGAATTGAAGTGCTAAGGATGAACTCAGTAAAAACCTCCAGTACTGGTATAGCCTGCTTGTGAAGTGCATAAATAATACACTGTTCTTCTCCTGTAAACAGGAAACAGTAAAGTTAAATGATTAATAAATAAGGGTAAAATGATGTAAGCATGCCAGTGTAAGAGTTCTTTCTGATCAGGTTACTTTTTGTTTTGGGCTGTATGTACATGGTGTGTATATACGAAACATTATGATTGAAGGATATCTCCCATATATAGAGGAGAAATTAAGTTTTAGAAAGATCTGTAATCAAATTTGTATCACTGGCTTAATAGCAGGCTTTTACAGGTTGCTCCCAAGACATTACATTGACTGTATGGCTTTCCTATCTTTGTTGCAGGGCCTACGATTTGAGGTTGTTCCATCCTGGTTTAAGGAGACACTTGAAAAGTCGTCTTTTGCAGCCCCTTATGAGTATGCCATAGAAACAGCAAAACAGAAAGCTCTTGAGGTAGCAAACAGAATGCATGTGGTAAGTTACCAGCTATTCCAATAGTTAGATACTGTCTTTATGCAGTAGATGTTACTGTGATTTAATTGGCATGCACTTCTTGGGTTGTCTCTGAGTGCATTTTCCCACTGAAAGCAAATGGATGTTTTCTGTCATTTGTGAAAAGTAGCTACTGAAATTAATTCACCTTGTCAAAAGGAGGTCTGATACCTGAAATTGGCATTTCCACAGGTGAAAGTGGCCTGTGTCTCTTGTCAGCAACACACCTACTGTGACTTGCGACGTATAATTGCTAGTTCCTTCCAGCAGTCAAGTGTAGGCTGAATAGCTGTGATCCCGATGGTTTTCCCTTCTGGGTATTTGACTATGGGGGCAGATTCTATTCAAAATACGCCAGTGTGAATCCAGTGCTTTGCTGTAGTTGTCATTGAACAGTAGTTGTAACAAAAGAGGGCTCATGAGTACAAGAGTACTAGAGGAATGCTAAAAGATTTAGCAGACAAAATATTTTCTGTTATTAAGCACTCTGCGAAAATTAGGAAATCCTTTTTAAGAAGGGAGAAACTAATGTGACTGTAGTCAAGGCAACTATTCTATTTCCTAAACATCAGAAGCCAGTGATGCAACTCATAGTATCAATGTGATATTTGATTTCCGCCCTAAGGTTTAATCGCTGTGTGTCAGCATATCAGGCTGTTCTATATCATGTGGACTTCTGAATACGTCCTGGTGAGATTCCATTAAACAAGCCATAAGCTGCTAATAATTTCTTAATGCTGCATCTCCGAAAGCAGAGTATATTTGTCAAACCTATACTGGTGCCAGAAAAGGAATGCTTTAAACCACCAATGTTGCCAGATGTCACCATTCCTCAAAGCAAATATTGCATGATCTCCAGTGTAAATGGTTATCCAGGTTTCTGCCGACTGCTTTTCAGAGAGTAATGTGACATTAGCAGAGTGGATTTTAAACACAGACCTAGCTAATTAACACATACTGGGCTTTCATTGCAAAACACTGTGCTGCTGATCATGATTTCAAAGTACTTTATATTGGATTTAGAGAAATAATTGCTGGAATTAGGTCTACAGTTTAAACAGATCAACATAAGAGTCACTTCTCTAACTTTTTTTTATAATGATCACAGTTACAGAGAAAAGTACTTTTCTCCCATGCTATGTTAAATAGTAGCTGTGCACCTTGTAACACAAACCAAACCTGAACAATAGGAAGAGGTTACAGTTTAAAGCTGAGAGGGAAAGGCCTAAAAGGAACTCTTGTATACCCCTACTTCTCGGTACCCTGAAATGGACTGTGTATGTTCACTTTGGATAGCTCTCTTGAAAACGTAGTTACAAAAAGGCACTTTGGCAAGACTTAACTAAGCAAACAGAGTTAAAGCCCTCTGCTAATGCTTTTATCTCTGATTTCCATACATAGGACGCTTCCTTTAAAGGAATTCTGGCTGCCACTTTGAAGACCAAATTGACTTTTGAGAATGAAACTTTTTTCCTGGATGCATTTGTTCATCAGTAACTTATTTAGGCAAAATTGTGACCTGAGAAAGGTCTGCTTGAAGCTTCCTGTTTACACGCTCTTAGTGTTATAAATGGTTAGTTCTGTAAACAGTACAAAAGAAGAAATAGAATGTGTTATATTCAGGTCAGCATGGAGCTGTAAATATAAATCGGTGATCTTCTGTTTTGTTAGCTTGGGTTTTAAAACGCTCTTTGCTTGACTGTTTTTTACTGCTTTTTTGAGAAATGTATTCTTTTCACCTTTGCAGAAACACCTTAGAACTCCCGATATTGTTATAGGAGCAGACACTATTGTGGTAAGAAGTCTTATGTATTTCAGTGTTGCTATCATGTATGATGAGTACAGAAAATACTTGTATTTTGGAGTCTAAAGCTAAAGTTGGAAAAAACTTTTACCTAAGAAGTGATCCCTGCAATATTGTGTGTTCTGAGGGTTTTATGTCAGCATAAATTTGTCACAAAAACTGAGTGTTATCTGTCTTTCAGAGACTCCAGTATTAAATAAGTAGTGCCTCAGATCTGCTACTGTGTAGTACTCTGTTATTGGGCAACTTTTGACCATCAAGAAGTTTAGATTAGGTGAGCTGTCTGATGTTAGGTTTCTTAGCAGACATTGCTTATACCTGCGGTCTCCACAGAGAGAGTGAACAGTGAATGACAGGCGAGGTTGAATTACCCTCTTGTTTATGGAAGCTCCTGACACCAGAGGGTGGCCTACATAGTTGCACTTATGTGCTTGTCAGTAAATTGTCTGCTCAAGTATCTGTGGTTCTTACCCGGCTCAGCAGACTTGTGTTTGAAGGCCTGACTGAAATTATGGTTTCAAAGTCTTATGTCCTATCTCAGTTTCAGAAAAGTAAGACATAACAGTAGAATATCTTTGTTTTTCTGTTTTAGACTGTGGGTGAGCAGATCCTGGAGAAACCAGTTGATAAGCAAGATGCATATAGGATGCTATCAAGGTTTGTAGTTTTAAATAAGATTCCAAATGTATAACTTAAGCTGTTGTAGCAGGAGCTGTACGAATTCCTTGTAATATATGAAGAACTCTATGCCCACAAATTTTTTTAATACTTTTTTACTAAACAGTATAAGCCAGTTATGCCACTGGGAAGAGTTAGACTGGCTAGATCTTGCCCCCGGCTAATTGTTCTTGTTCCTGCACCTTAGGGAGCTGATCAGGGTTAAAACAAAACCTTTTATTTTGCTGGGAAAATATTCCCTTCGATTAATTTCCAGAGTCATTGTACCACAGGACCACCTATATGCATCAGGTGATACAAGAAAGGGACAAGGAGGGGAGATAGGGCAGAGCCATCACAGTGGTGCTCTGAGGCTTGACATTTAATGACAGGATGTTGCATGTACAAGAAAGTACATAATGATATGTGTTCATTGACTGTTGCTTTACATTCTGGTACTTTGTATCCTTCAAAGTATCAGGCATAAAAGTGCCTCATCGCCTTAGTTTAACTTTTTTCATTAGATAACCATCTTGCTAACTTCCTTTCTAATAACATTCTATAACAGAGTAAACATTTGTCTGATTCCTTTACCTTCAGATAAGATCCACTCAATATAGAAATTATGAGAAAATGAGTTGGGAATTGTCTTGGGGTCATGCTCTGTGGTTTTCTGCCAACCCCGGTGTCAGTGCTTTGGATTTATAGTTTAACTGAGGGGAAAAACTCCACTTCTGTCGGAGTTCTTCATGGGGAGTAGGCTGGTAGTTTTTGAGGCTTCTGTCTCTCTTTTTGGAGCATCCTTTTCCCCTTCAAGCTTAATGTTACCTCTGTGACTTTACAGTCCTCTCTTCTTAACACAGGAAAAGCTGTTTCACTAGCGCTTCATTTCTTAAACACCTACTAATTAAAACTCTAGTCATTTTCTTTATGAAAGATGAGATACAATGAATCCACTGTGCATTCATCTGTGGTCGTGAGGGAATACAACAACAGACATGGAATGTGATCTGATGAAACAAACAAGCTAATTCAGGAATCTGCTAGAGAGAATTCTAAGGGGTAGGTGTCTTTGAGGGGTGTGTGTCTGTTCCCCCTCCCTCCCCCTGTAGGTCTCTTTGGTTTTTTGCACTGATAACTTAAGCTGTGTTTGTGATTCTTCATAGCATGATGTTAACTTCAATAGTAGTAGTAAAAGAAAGCAAATGAGAGCAGCATATGTTATTAGTAGGAGATTCCCAAAGGAATCTCTGACAAAGGATTCCTCACTACTATATGCTTTTGCTTGGAATCATGCCAATTTTGGTTAGTTCCAGAAATAATATTTTTTTTTTGGCTAGGCTTACTGTACTACCTCTAAAATAGAGGTTGTGTGTTAGAAGTCTGCAGTAGCTCAGTCTCTGTAATCATGGATATGAAATGTATTTGAAATTCTTTTTTAATAATTCCTGCTAATTGTGATCAGTATTAGCAGGAAAAAGTACATTGTGCTGATTGTATCCAAGATATATCCAAAGTGTCAGGCTGAAATATTCACTCCCTAGTCTATCTTTTTACAACTACTCGCATTGAATCTTGTGGGAGATAGTAAGAGTGCAAGATACTTCTATTCACATTAAGTAATAGTCTGGCTAATCTGTATGAGACAATTCCTTAATTAGTCTCTTCAACTCAAGTTCTCATGCTATTTATTGCACTTCTGTTTACATCAAATGTATAAATTTAAAAAGCCCTCAAAGTTAATTAGGCACAGTATAGTACTCTGAAGCCACAGCAAGAGAGACCCTGTTATCTCTCACTTCTCACGCAGCAGTCAGCTCAGCTAGGAGCTGAGTGCATCAGTCCTGGGTTAGAGTGAAGATCAGCTTTTTCCCTCTACAATCTGCTTCTGCTGCTCTCACTCATCATGGGATTATAGCAGGGCAGTCATCCAGATGAAACAAATGCATAAGCTGTAGTCACCTACCACTTGTTTAATCAAAGTTGTATTATCTAACTCTGTATTATCAACTTTCACTGACGTTGCCTGTGATGATAGTGGGGTTTTCTATTATTTTTTTTCTCTCTCGCATTTGAATTATTTACTTCTCCCCAGGTATGGTAAATAGATGGATATCACTGACTACTTTCCTAAGTTGTAGACAATGATTTTTGGACATTGGTAGGAGGAAGATTTGAAATAATTGAATCCTTATAGTATTTGGAGGGGTTGGTTGCCAGTGTCTTTCAACTATATTAAAATTAAACGTATTTGCTTAGGATACATTGAGCCATTGAGTGATTTATTTATATAGTGGTCTCTTTCTCAAGTTGTAGTAACATAGTCTCGTAGAAGACTCTTGCAGATGACAAATTTCGTAAAACTTTATTAATGCACATTTTTCCCTGATAGGTTGAGTGGGAAAGAGCACAGTGTTTTCACAGGAGTGGCAATTATACATTGCAGCAGTAAAGGTACGTTTGTTACTTTATTGAAGTTTAGTGTTTTCTTCAAAAAATGAATTGTTTTTCTAAGGATGATGTACACAAGTGAAGAAACAGAGGGTGGGGACTTCTCATACGCAGCCTGAATTGGCTTCCCACTCGAGATAAAATTTACCTTATGAATATGTATATGTGTGTACGCATGTATGTGTGTATGTGCACACATGTATAGATATTTCCCACCAAAGCTAATGTTTGTATTGCATTCAATTTTCACAAAGGAAGAAGGATTACGACATAGAAAATAGCCTTTACAAGTAATATGTCTAAAAGTTATGGAACTACTTTAGACCCATGTAGATTTGTGGGAATGTCCTAAATGAAATACAAGTAAGGTACTACAAAATGCAAGACTGAGCAGAATCTGATTTGTACTGGCTTTCTTCCTGTGTTCTACTTATTTGCTGATACTTGCAAGAGGTTGCTGTATGTGGAGTTACTACTTAGTTTTGTGAGTGTTGTTGTTGGGGTCCCCCCCCAATAAAAAGGAAATTTTAGTTCATTTTTAAGGGATGAGTAAAATAATGGCTTCATTGCTTAATGCATCAATCTTTTAATGAACTGTAGGGAGCAATAAACTTACATTCTTTAACAGATCACTTAGGTAGTAAATGAGTGGTTTAGTGAGCACTGCATCATTAATATAATTTTAGGATTGTTTAGTTTGAGGGATTTCATGTGATAATCATGCCAAAATTTCAGTAATGGAACTTCTGCAAGGCTCCGTTCTCAAATTTCACTGGAGATGCTCTTTTTCTGTGGGCATTCCTTACAATTTTCAAAATCTTTATTGGAATGATTGCTCTTAGCTCTTGTAACAGAGCTAATGCCAGTGATCCAGTACCCTTATTAATATACGTACACAGTAAGAGAAGCTACTGGCAAAGAAATAAATAGATTGTCAAGGGGTTCATGTGAACTATATGGAAAGAGTAATAATGCCTGTCACTTACTCTAAGAGGAAAATAAAAACACACAGAATTGCAGTGCTGATGCTATGACAACAAATCTCGTTTGAAGTCTACAAATTTAAACCAAAACAGATTCTGATAAGGAAAATATAATAAATCAGTGTATTCCTCAAGCAGTGCAATCAATTGAAGATTTTTCTGCAATACTTTTGTTAGTTGATAGATCAATTAAGAGTTGTTATATAGGAAGATTGATTAAAAACATTCTTTCAATGTTGATAAATAAAACTAAGTCATTACATGTGGGTTGGTTTGTTTGTGGTGTTCTATACTTACACTGTTAGCAGTTGGATAACAGTCTTCCCCTGATCTGTACTGTGAATCTCTTACATACTCTGCCTAAGGCATTTTCACTGTTATAAGAGAGGTAACTAGAGATCTGCACAGCAGTAACAAGAGATACTGACCTCAATCTTGCAAGAAAGAGACAGTCAGTAATGCTTAACATACTAATGACCAGCTGCAGGTTTACTTTTGCGAGGCTACTTTCTTTGGAATGTGCTTTGTAACAGCCTTTCTCTGTAGTGATGCCAGATTCAGAGAGTACCCATGCAAGGGGCACCCCGCATCCAGTTGCGCAGTGCTTTGGAACACCTCTCACTGTCTCACAACTACTTTCACATATGGAAGTCTGAAATACTTCACTTCTTTCTTGAAAGATGAAACTAAGGCTCTGTTGTGATTCTGCAGTCAAAGACTGTTACCGTGAGGTTTGCTGGACGACCTGCAGTACAGGTGCAGCTGTGCATGTAGGAGTATGTAATAGTTTTAACTGTGTTGCATTGTTAAGAGTTCTTTGACAGCAAAGTTAGAGGGATGCTTGTGGCCTTTCTTGTATTCACTATTGGATATACATTGGCAGCACATAAATAGCCCTGCTGCAGGCACATAATTAACTTTGAGTGTATCGGGAAGAACAACCTGCTAGATTAAGATAGGACTGCAGAGGTAGGAAGTGGGGGTGGGAGGGATTTTTGGTTTGGTTTTTTTTTGGAAAATTAGTGAGTATGTGCAGAAAGAAGTAAACAGACATGATTCTACTGTTCCTAAAGAGCATTATTAATCATCCAACACACCTGTTTAGCACCTACCTTTAATTTTTCCCCAGCAAAATTATCCAATGTCTATGAAGTGAAGTTTAACTCTGAGATATGTTATGCTTTCTAAACTATACTTTCATGCTACAATTTCTGTTTGTAGTGAAACCTTTTTCTGCTTGCAGATAATCAGCTGGAGACAGAAGTCACTGATTTCTACGAAGAGACTAAAGTGAAATTTTCTGACCTGTCTGAAGAGCTTTTGTGGGAATACATACATAGTGGGGAGCCAATGTAAGTAAGACCTCGAAGCTAGCACAGAGTGCTTGAGAATAGCATACACTATATTACTAGCCTTCACCATAAAACACTTTGCGTTGTGTTCTGTGGAATTTTGCTCTATATGTGTCAGATGGTAGTGTGGCTGATGCAACATGGGTTTTCTGTTCTTGTCTAGAACTAGCATTGCTCCAGGGAAACTGAATGACCTTTTTAGTACTCTAACAAACTTGAAAAATGAAGACTGAAATATTCTGGATTACAGCAAATACTCTTCTAATATAAAATTACCTCTCTGTTACCTGAGGCATTCGAGGAGCTTGGATACCTGAGAAAATGGCTGTAGTTCTCATTAGCCATAGTTAAAAGATATTCATTCGAATAAATAGGTGAATGGAAGGACTATGAGGGTAATCAGAGTTTTGGAGACTTACTGAAAGGAGCTAAACTTGGCTTATTTAGCCTAGCAAAAAGCAAATGAGGGAATAAGATTAGTCTAAAATCCTACCGTTCTGAAACGAGAAGCACTGACATAACTTTCAGTTTTATCCTGATGGCTAACTTACACATGTGTTCTTTTGCCATAAATAGTCTTTTGGCTTACACCTGTTTCCTCAGCACTTGCATTTATGCCAGTTATTTACAGAGCACATTCTTCCCACAGAAATAGTAGAGAATGAGAGCAGAATGCCTGACGGCCTCTAAGATGAGGCTGACCACTTTCTAAATAAAGAGCTAAGTAATTATTTGGAGACAAAAAAGAAATTCATGTGATACATTACAGAATTTGCCTTTCCCTTCTACTAGCCGAAGGCAAATCGGGCAATGTTAAGCACTGTGGACTACATCTGGTGATCTGAGGGTAAACATTTGGTTCTGTATAATGCAATCAGAATTGAAGGTAACATCAACTGTGGTGTTTCATTATGCTTGTTTTTGATACAAAATAATGTAGTCATGCTTTACTGTGGAAAGAAGAACCAATATAACCTTTGGATGTGTCTTAAGTGTTTGTGTGTGAATTGGGCATATTTTTAGAAAATGTAAGGTGCTGAGCTCACTAAAAAGAGTGAAGTTAATTTGGATTATGGAGGGAAAAATGTTTTGGAGAGAATACAGTTTATAGCAGAAATTCCTAGATAGGTTTGAAACGTTTATCGTTAGTAGGCTGCTGACTGGAAAGTTGCAGTTTGAAGGGGAAATGACCAAAGATTTTCAGGAAGAATGACAGATTTAGAAATATTTTGAATATTCTGAGCATTTCCTCTGAAAGAATATGCAAAAGTACTGCTGTGGTGCAGCAGGATTGGAGCAGGATTGGGTAATTCTGTTCATTCTGCTAACGTGGTATGGGAGAGCAAGAAAGTTTATCAGGGGACTGGAGGTTCAGAGAATATATTTCGCCATTCTCTGGAGCAGAAGTCAGTAAATCTGAAGTTCTACAATCAAGAGAGTAGGAAGCATTTACTGTCTCCTTGTGAAGGAACCACTTAATGTAGTGGCCTGTAAGTTGTGCAAAACAGTAAGTGCACAGTAAGGGGAAGTTTCTCTTGGGCCCTCTTTCATGTGGCCATCCATACAGGTTGTACACGTGTGTAACAAGTGCACATGTGCTTATGGATTTTAAAACACTATTGCAGTTCAAGTGACCATTTGTTTGTTTTTTTAAATGAGTATATAACTTAATTTTTCATGGAGTCGTTAAGTCCTTTATAACTACACAAAATGAAAATTGATACAATTCTATGCTGTTGAGGATTAGATTGAGTTGTTCTCGTTATAGCAAGGATAAAATTGGTATATAAAATATTGTAAAAATCAGTCACTGGTAAGACAGGAACTAATTTCTAGAAGTATATTGTTAGTTTAAAATAAAAAAAAAAAAAAGTGAGAAGGGAAAACCACTGTCTTAACATAGGCTATGGTGAGACTAAAATCCTTCAGTGTTTTGGCTGCAGAAAGATGGGCTCTTTTTCTTCTTTTTTTGGTTTGTCCCCACTGTTCTTTCCAGTCAGGGATTTTCAGCCTGCTGGCAGGGTCTCTTTTCTGCTTTCTGACTCTTTGTAGAAAGAGAGCTGGACCATAGTGAGCCTAAATATTTCTGGCTTACATAACAAGTGGACTCA